AAGGCGTTTTCATCGCTCTAGCATGCCTCTAGCAAAAGTTATTTGCGAAAAACTATTAGATACCATTCGTGACCTAAGATGACCTCAGGGCATAAACAGGGGTCACGGACACCATTTTCATGTTCAGTGTGTCTAAACCACTTGCAATTCAGTGTTTGGGAGTGTTTATAATGTCATTCGTCCAAAGGAGGCGCATTTCAATTTTCTCCCATTGACTTATAATGGGGAGGTCGCAAAATTGACCTGACCTTAGGTCATCGATATCAAAATTCTGAGATATACATTTTGTACATGCTATTGCTCTTAGCAATCGCTGAAAGTTTCAAAGCGATCGGTCACTCGGTGTAGCTATGACAGACATTGAAACTTTTTATGAGGTGAGGTCACTTCAAGTGACCTGGTGACCTGACCTTGAATGACCTTGGTCTGAAATTTTCACAAAATGTGTAGAATTGATGTATAATAAGGTGTACCAAAAACGGCGGCGCTCCGCGCCGCCGTTTTTGAGATATTCGCGAAAAACCACAAGGGGGGGTGTTCAAACACCCCCCCAGCAGGGCGCGGGTTAAGGCCTAAAAAGGTGTCTATCTGATGCAGTTTTTCACGGCGAATCGAATGGTGCTATTTTTGTTTCCGTACGAGGTCTAGAACTTCCAAAAAAGTCATTTTTCAAAAAAATTGTGTGTCGTGACGTCATAAAATTTTGAATAACTCCCACATTTTTGAACTGATTCTTCTAAAATTTGGTATGTAGGTGCACATAGACCACTTCTCTGACATATATTCCGGTTTTTTTGATAGACTCAAAATTTTGAATTTTATAATGATTTTCCAAAAAAAGTCAGTTTTTTGAAAAAAATTTAGGCCAAAATCCAAAATTTTCAAAAAACCGAGATGGCCATTTGATAGACAAAGTAAAATTACGTATATCCTTTTTTGTTACGTCTTGATTCCTTTAAAAATGAAGATGTTAGCGGCGTTTGAACTTTTGCCGTTTTTTAGGCGAAAATGGCGAGCATGACGTCACTAAAACGTCAATTTCTCAAAAATTTTCCGACGGATTTCGCTCAAATTTTCAGGGAAGGTGTCAATTGATGTAAGAAAAGGTACTGAAAGTTTGGCGGCGCGGGGGGGTAAAATTTACCCCTCCCAGCCCCGCGCGGGTTAACGGTAAAGCCCTATCCGCTTATGTACCCAACTATCCATCGCGTTTACGTTCCGTATATGTGAAGCGGTCTTTAGGCAAAAAAATTCCGGTAGACGGCTATTTTTCTGTTGGTAAAACTGGTCTCAGGTCAAAGAATAGGCACCAGAGGTCATCAAAGGTTAAATTTCGCCTTTTTCATTTTCTTTTACAAAATTGCCCATAAATCACTGTATTTGATAGCTCTTTTAGCGGTTTCTGGAATAAACACTCAAAGTTGATCTAAGCTCAAAATTTGACCTGAGGTCAAGGTCATGACCTGACACGAAAAGGTCATATTGTTTGTATCGGTCCGGTCCTTATCGTCGACCTGAACAGTGAACACATCTAAGGTTGTTTCCATCGCTCCAACACGTCTCTATAAAAAATTATCGTCAAAGAACTGCTGGAGACCTTTAATGACCTGATATGACCTCATGGTAATAAAAAGGGGTCACAGGTGCAGTTTTCCGATCCAGTGTGTCATGTTTACCTGTAACATGACGTTTGAGTGTTTAGAAAACGTTCATCCAAAAATACATCCTTCAATTTCCTCCTGTAAACTTCTAAGGGAGACTGTGAGAAATTGACCTGACCTAAGGTCATCGGTATGATGATATAATTCGAATACTTGCATTCTGTACCTAATTTTACTCTTATTGATCGCTAAAAGTTTCAAAGCGATCGTTCAGTCGGTGTAGCTATGGCGAGCATTCTAACTTTTCTGAGGTAAGGTCACTTGACCTGAGACCAGTTTTACCAACAGAAAAATAGCCGCCTGCCGGATTTTTTTTTTGTCCAAAGACCGCTTCACATACGCCTTCACATACGCGTAACCGCGATGGCCACGTAAGCGGATAGGGCTTTACCGCTAATGCTCATATGTGAAGCGGTCTTTAGACAAAACAATTCCGGCAGGTGGCTATTTTTCTGTTGGTAAACTGGCCTCTGACCTGGTAACCTGACCATAACAATTTGTAACGTCTTATATGTAAATGGTTTCATGCAACATTAGCTATTAAAACTATAATAACGCCCTCTACAGATCTAGGTGCCAAACCAAAGCTATCGAGTGATGACACTATAGATCTGTCGTCATTTCAGATGAAAATGACTTGTTGGCCGCTGGCTTATTAACAATGAAATTCTGGGGAAATAATTTTAAGTCTTTATATTCCAATCCTTACTCCACCCTTCAATCGATAAATCACGTTTGACGGCAAAAAGACTTCGCGGTCGAACTACGTTACTTAGATAGTCATTAGTATTTTGAAAATGCACATGGAATACACAACTTCAATACAAGAAGCGGGCAGTATGCAAACTGCCCAAGCTTTTGGGCGGTATGCATACTGCCCAAGGGGTCGGGTAGTATACATACTACCCGGGTGGTATGCATACTGCCCAGGCTGTTGGGCAGTTTGCATACTGCCCGGGTAGTTTGCATACTGCCCAAGTTAGCATATGACCCGTAACATATATAATGGCTAATGGTGACATGTAACATTCACCGTTCCGTGCTTCTATCCTCAGGATACTGAAATCCTTCTCCTCCACGCCGCAACCCCCCTCCGGGCTGGACAGGCAACTTTATCTCATGCGGGCTGCTGCTCCCTTGGAGCGGCACCGCTGCTCCCGAGGGAGCGCACCCCGTAGCCGGGTGCAGTGAGAGCCTTGGGGCTGGGTGGCCTGTCCTCTGGACGGGCTCAGCCCCGGCGACTCACTGGGGTGCCTGCCCAGACCAATGTCTCCCCCTATATCCTATCATCCTCCCGGCTCTGAAATGGTCTCATTTGCATTGGACCGAAAGGGCCTAACCCAACAAAACAAACAAAAAACATGTAACATAGGGTGGAGGTGACATTTTGTTTGCTGCTTGGAAGCGTCTGAATCTGACAAAAAATCATTTGTTGTGTTTCGAGATATTCATGAAAGTGAAAAGGCTGATGCCTTGCCGAAATGGTTTGAAGCTTGTCAACCATGACCGTTAGATTTCAATGCACTATTTCTCACCGTTTTTTTTTTTTTTTTTACTGGGGCCCTGACAGAGATTTCACACTTTTTCGTAAATCGCATCAATTATTCGGCTGAAAAATATGTTTGTCATGTAGGTTTAGGTTTTAACCCATTTGGTGTTTTCCTTTCATTTTCATTTATAATGCACAAAAGCAATGCAAGACCATCATATTTGGGTCCAGTTAAAATCACAGCGTTGTCGTCACCAGCGCTCGGACTTGGTATCTGGTCGGTTTTTCTTCCCGTTTCTGCTCAGCTTCTGTCTTCTCTGAATTCCTGACCGCATCGGGCCGAAAAATGCTCCTCTTATGGGTCCACCGCACTGCAGATTTTCCAAATCAAAACGTCAGATCTTGCTTATGACGTTTTTTCAGTTTTATCGTTTTTGTAGGCACTTTCGCGTTTTCATCGTCGAGACGAATCAAGCAATATGTAATGTGACCTGAAAATGTCAAACTGAAATGTAGCCTTAGGTCAAGGTCCCAAAGTGATTCAAATAGGTCATAGGTCGCCAGACAACCCGTCGTGAAAATGGCTATTGCATAGCAAATGACCCGTTTTGAAGAGACAAAGCCAATGGCAACTGTCGAAGTCTCTATCACAGGTCTGTCAAGAGTTGGATAAAAAAAGACGCATGACGATCTCATGACGTCATAAAAATTATCTGACTTGACCTGAGGTCTACGATGTGAGATAGATACTGAAAATTAAAGTCCACTCAACGAGACGGTCCTCGTTATACCAATGATTACTGTGTTTGGACGACGTAAATCTATGGCCACAGGTCAAGATCAAATATCGACTCAGGTAGGTCAAATAGCAGCTGGGTTGATCACCCTTTAGATAAGAATCGCTTGATAACACCTAGATTTTATTCATCTCCTTTAAATGCAATGATATCGGGCAAAAGGGTCAAGTGACCTAGAAACTGACCTAGCCTTACGTCATCGACATAAAAACTGAGCTGTAGAAAATGTATGTACAGTGGTATGACCTCATAATTTTGGGAGTAATAGTCGCCCGTTCAAATACCTCAGCTTTGATAAGTCATGGTCCAAACTTTTTCAGAGTTGCGGCCCCTTATCGTGACCTGGTGGCTTGATCGATGCATTGATTGCATTTGTTTTTCAGAGTAGCTATGAGTTAAAATACATAATGAACAGCGATGCCAGATACGAGGGTAAAAACTTACATGTTCTTGACGATTGGCAAAAAAAAACGGAGGGGGATCAACGCGAACATCTCCGGAGGGACTGTGCGCGTGTTTATTCTACGGAACTAGGCGTGAGAACTAAGAATCACGTACTGTAAATTGCTAACCATTTGTTAAAGTGAGTTCATCGTACTTACTCAGAGCCTTGCTTGACAACACCGAGTTAGTTAAGCACGCTACCAAAATCCAAAAAAGGAAAATTTGGCTTTTTATCGGATGCAGCCCTGAGAAGCGCATTGATATCGCTCCCCAAAAACCCAATCCACCAGAGCTTCAAGGGTCAGAAGAGAGCACATCAACTAGAGCCATGATTCTGTGTAAGAACATTTGTCAGTGAATAACGCTTTCAGACGTTACTTCTAAATTGCTCGTATACTACTAAAACCGTAATTATCCATATCATAATTGGTCATAGACCATAGTTATTGATTATTATTGTAGTGTTGATGATCACGAAATAGGGCAAAGCAATTCCATAATCAACATCGTGTTCTGTAATAGTTGATAGCCTCTTGGGGTGATGGTGTCACTTCGGTTCCATTTCTGACTTCCCTTCGCTCACTCTCTCCACGAAAAAAAAACGTCGCGTTCTGTTATGCTGTTTTTATTGCGTATTTTTGTTTACATGTTTCCTCAGCTGAGGGATAGGACAGCAGAAAGACAGAGGGACAGAGGGACAGAGGGCCTTCACACACGGGCGGTGAGCGGCGCGCGCGCACACACAGACATACAAACCCAGCGGCTCGAGCTGCGGTGTCTCGGCCGGCGGCACGGCGGCAGTCTCTGGGGGGAGCAGATCTCAGCCGGACTGGCCGCTGGGCTCATCAGCAGTGGCGCTCGCTGCTCTTCGCCAGTCACGTGACCGGCCAGAGGTCAGTGACGTCAGCGGCGGCGTGAGCCAATCAGAGGGCGGGCACGTGGCAGCTGCAGGCGGCCGGCAGCCGGTAGATGTCGATGAACAGGCCCTTGTACGGGTCGCACGGGTCGTACGAGAGCATGCGGTGGTAGATGTACTTCTGGGTGCACTTGCTCTTGTAGCAGGGCGCCAGCGCGCGGCAGGCGGCGTCCGGGTGCAGGCACGTCTCCAGCCGGGCCGTCTGCGTGTAGTAGTGCACGTCGTTGACGATGACGCGCCACTCGCCGGCCACGTTCTGGGCGCGGCGCGGCTGCGCGTAGGCCACGTCACTGGGGCAGATGTAGCCGGCCGGACCAGCCCAGTGGGTCACGTCGTACGGACTGTCGCCCTTGGACGAGCCCGTGTAGTAGCCGTAGTCGAAGGCCGACTCCTGCTCGGCGCTCAGGCCGTCGACCAGGTCGTCGGCCGACTGGGTGCCGATGTCGGCGTACTTTTTGGCGAACAGGTGGTCCTGCGAGATGGCCGCCTTGATCTCGTAGGCCGGGTACTCGGCGTCCTCGAGGCAGTAGGTGAGGGACGAGTTGGCCGCGCAGGCCGGCGCCGCCGTCGGGTCGCAGTAGTGCTGCTGCTGGTAGCCTCCCTGAAACACAAAGATAAAAGAAAATAAGCAAACTGAGCGTAATCCTGTCTTTGTTTGGCAGACAATCACGGTAAATAACCACGCTTCAATCTGCTACTTATTATCATGAAAATGTTTAATAACTTCGACGAAACTAGGTAGACATCAATGGAAATTGATAGCAGAAATAGCAATGGCCGTATGAAAAGATGTTAGCCTTCTTTTTTAGTTTCACATAACTGAATGTTTAATTTCAATATTTTGTCACGTTTCAAATTAAAGTTACACTTACATATTGGGGCGCTGGGTGTCCGTACGGGGGAGGATGGCTGGCCGTGGCCGCAGCCACACACGCCAGCACACTGATCTGAAAAGACGAAAACAAGATTAAACACGATATAAGACATAAACAGGCAGTTTCTTTACTTCCTCACAATCGTAGGGTCCGTCACAAATACAAGCAATAAAAATTTAAAAGAGAAAATGCGAATAAGCGAAGACTTTGCAAGGCTCAACTGAATTCAGTCAAAGATTTGGGCAAAATAAAAACCCTTGAAAGACACCTGTAAGGAGAGTACAAAAGTGCAATGATTTTCGAAATATTTTTTGTTTATTTTAATTTTTTAATAGTTATTAGGAAATGTATTTACTAAATTTGCTTCGGAATAAATTGCAACAGCAGGCCTACTCCAAGCCACTCACCAGTCTCATCGCCATGACGTCACTGGGAGAAGTGGAAAAAGGAACTGAGACGGTTTGACTCTGCCGTCCACACTCGCCGCTCACCTTATATACACGGCCTCTGCTGTCCGCGCATGCGCACTAGCCGCCCGTCGTCTGCAGTGGAGCCGGCCTTGGTCCGGTGAAAGAGGGACGGTCGGCTGCGGTGGACGATGGGACTTGATGAGTATTGTGGTTTACCCGTTATTGGATGCCATTTCACATGATGTTGTATCATTGTATATCACAGTGTTTCAGGCCGGCAAAAACAATGAATTAGACGTGCTTCTCTGCTTCCTGTTATTTTTGAACCTCTGCTTTACCTGAATTTTTGTTTGTCATTGTTGATTTTTATCACTGAAAATATGAGATATCGTCTTTTTTAATATGTTCTTTAGCTATCTTTGAATGGTATGGAAACATTTTAGATGATATTAATCATTTATTTATATTCCGAGGTCACTTCATATGACATGTTGAGTAGACCTTTATTGGCCTGTGGCTAAAAATTGTGCAATATGGGTGATGCGTTGAAAAATATGTATGTTTAAGTGTACGAAGTGTAGGTAGTTGATTATTTGTTCATTTGCTTATGATTTGGGAATATTTAAACATAACATGTTTGCCGTTTGGCGAAAGAAAATCCCTTCACTACTACCACACATCTTCTAGGAATTACATAGGCATGATAAATTATGACAACTCAAAAATGTTCCCTGATCTCTTGATTTTTTTTTTCGCATTTAGCATTCAGCTCCGACAGCCGGTAATCGTAGACGGAGCTATTACTGTCCCCGTTCTACCCCTGATATTGGCCATCAGGTCACCGTCGAATGAGACACACCCTACCTTCCCTCCCCCTGCCCCTCCCCGTTCACTGGGGAGGGATGACCCACAACAAAACTGGAGCACTGACACCATTCGAGACGAGATCAGTGGACGTGGTTTGCAGAACGGTGCAAGATTCTCTCTCCTTCCATCTTTCTCCCTCCCTCCCTCTCTCTCTCTCTCTCTCTCTCTCTCTCTTTCTCTTTTTTCTCTCTCTCTCTCTCTCTCTCTCTCTCTCTCTCTCTCTCTCTCTCTCTGATTTTCTCTCTCCCTCTCCTCCTCCTTGGGCTATGTTTTTTTTTCTGTGTAACCCTCGCCCCGCTGGGCTATTCAGCCTTACACGTCCCTTTGCGGGAAGATAGATTCTGCCCCCTGTCATACTTTTGAGCGGATGGCCGTAAACCCTACCCCGTATTGGTGTTTTTTTTTTCCAGCCGCAAACGTACATATAGGGGGGGGGGGGGTCCGTTGGACCCTCCTTGCCGTTTTGCCCCTGATCAGGCTAGAGCTTTGCGAAAAAAAACGAGCGTGTTGCCCGTGACAAGAGGAAGCCGATGATACCCAATTTTAAGGTCCTAGGTTATCGGTTGACCTTCCAGGTCAGGTCAATGACCCAAAAGTCGGGAAAATCAGGACCTGTTAGAAAGTCGTAAAGCGTGGTGTTACGGTTTTTCGGGGTGCTGATCACGAATATCATGTTAGTTTTGATCACAGATGATGTCTTCATGCATTAAGGCCAGGTCGGGTCAGGTCAGGTCAAGTCAACCAGTAAGGGTATTCGTAGTAGGTGTCAACCGCCTCTGACAGTTTCGTAACATATTACGAAGGCACCAAAACTACATCGTAAATGTTCAAATGGTTGCTAAATTCGAATTCAGCTCCAAAAACCAGCCTAGAAACATGTAAAACTCGAAAAAGTGAACCGAGGTCATCAAAGGTCAATGACCTGACCTGACCTTTCGGTGACCTTGACACCCACCCTAATGCATAGAAGCAGCATCATATCCCATGTTTGAACGCTTAAAACCACGAAAAGACTGCAAACGCGCGGCTTATACGAGCCGACATACGCCGAATCGCGATTCCGGCCAAACATGGTCTCAAAAAGTAGGGCACAGGTCAAAGGTCATTTGGGTCAGGGTCATGAAATTTTCAGGGTAGGTGTAAAATTGATTAACGGGAGGGTACTGAAAGTTTCATCGCGATCGGCCGCTTTTTACGCGAGTTATTCGCGAAAAACCGAGGGGGGGCCCGTTTGACCCCATCCCTATACGGGCGAGGGTAAAGATGGAGGAGAAGCCACTCAAAATCCTGTCAGGAAGAAGACGTTTGAAGCACATTTTTACCTAAGTAGGTCACAGGTCAGGTTTAACCCTCGCCGGCACACCAATACGGGCGAGGGTTAACCCTCGCCGGAACTATTGGTTTTCTACATACGCGCCGGCCGAGGGGGGTGGGGGGGGGGGCGGGTACGACCCTCCCCTGACCGTTTCGCCTTTAACCTTCCAGGCGGTGGGGGGGGCATTTTTTTGCCCCCCCCCCTTTAGTTTTTTCAATATATCTCGAGAACCGTTGCGCCGATCGTCACCAAACTTTCAGTACCCTCCCGGGAGCAGCTAGCGCACATGGTGACCAAAAATATTTCCAAAGGCTATGATAGGATGGCCGCTAATGACGTCAGAGTGACGTAATTTTTGCCATTTTCGACCCAAAAAAAAGGTTTCACGGGAAGAGCTGTCAGGCCTACAGCTTTAGAGATACAGAAAAAATGTTTCAGACATAAAAGGTGTGGAATCATAAGGGCTACAAAACAGCTATTTTGGTTTTTCGAATTTTTTGGATTTTGACCTCCAAAAATCAAAAAATAGATTTTTTGAATATAATAGCCAAAAAATCTAAAAGGTTTTTTGAATTTCGAAAAATCCGGAATATATGTGATAGTCCCTACCGCCTTCTATCTACATAGATTTGAGATCGATACCTCTTTTTTTGGCCAAGTTATAGCGAAAAAACTGTTCAAAATTGATGACGTCAAATTTTCAAACTCAATTTTTAGCAATTCTAGACCTCGTAGCGCAAAACGAAGACCTTCATTAGACTCCCCGTGACGAGCTGCATCGAATCGATACCCATTTTATGCAAAAATATCAACTTTGAAATTTGACCTTTTTTTGGCCTGATTTTGACCTGACCATGACCTGACTGACCTCCACCAGAAAGTGACCTAAACCGTACCTGATGGTCTTATAACCAACACCATTGAGTTGGAAATGAAAAACTGGCCATAAAACATGCATCGCATAACCTTAGTAAAGTTCGGCTCATGTGGTGACCCTTGGTGACCTTTGGTGACCTGACCTGTGACCTGACCTGGTATGACCAGTGACCTCTAATAGCAACATATGTACTAGACAACTGACGCCTCATCGCTGATTTTCGACAAAATGCGTTTTACTCGGTGTTATAGCGCTTTCCCTAGAAGCCCCGTGAGCGGTGAAACATTTTATCTTTGACCTGACCTGTGACGTGATCGGTGACCCCGAGGTCAATGAAATTTGGTTTCCCTCGACAAATTTGACAGGGCTATTGAACGCCGCTTTAATTTTCCGGATCCGTCCAGTAGTTTCGGAGATACGGGGGGGGGGGGGGCAAAAAAATGCACCCCCCACCAACGCGCGGAAGGTGGCTGGTAGGCCCACCGCCTGCCGGTTTAAAGAAACTAGAGCGTCGCGAAAAAGGCGAGCGTGTGCGCCGTTACGAGACGCAGCGATTGGTACCCAATTTTAAGAGGTCAGGTCAGCTGGTGACCTCTGAGGTCAGGTCAAGTGTCCCAAGATACGGGCTCGGTTTTTGGCAAATAATTTCGAAAAAAATGATCGCGGAGCCTCAAATATGACAGCATCGTGTTTGCCTTCCTCAGACACGTCGAATGGTCTATTTTTTGTTTGGATTAGGTCAACTTTCGGTGTTGACCTCGGGTCACGGTCAGGTCAGATCCACCCAGGTCACGAGCTTGGTCGAAGGAGGTCATGTTGCATTTTATTCGATAAGGCAGGTCTTCCCGAGTCCATTGGTGGCCTTTCCGACTCGTTAGCTCAATTTGAGCGGGAGTTATTAACAAAAAACTCTTATACCCAAAGTGACGTCATAAATGACGTCACGCAAGGTCAACAATACAAAAGTGAAGCATTAACCCTCGCCCGCACATGGGGGGGGGGGTGGTTGCCACCCCCCCCCCCCCAGGCAGTCTTTCTGCTCTGCACTCAACATTTTTAGAGCTAGAAGGCTGATTTTTCGTATAGCTGCTCGTCTACGTCTATCCTTTCTTGATGTCCACGGAAAATTTCAAGTTTCTGTGATTTTTGGTTTCGGAGATATGACCTTGTTTTTCAGGTCATGTCATGACCCAAATGGCCAATTCTCAACATCTTACGTTTGCCATGGGCCTTGTGAGCTTTTCACACCCTGATTTCGGCCTTTTTTGCCAGTCTTACCTCCCATCTATCATGGAACATGTTGTTGGACGATGTACAGGGGTCAAGGTCAGGGTCAAGGTCAACCTAGGTCATCTAAGATAATTGCGTTTGAGGCAAGCTGAATTTACTTTTTGTGAAGTTTTTTGACTGCATTTTTGGTAAAAGCTTCTCAGATCATGATTTCATGTGATATGGACCCAAAAACAATCGGTGCACACATCAGTATACACACAGACACACACAGACATACAAACACATATAATTGACCTTGACCTAACTTGACCTGAAATGACCTCAGCAGCAAAATTCTGGTCGCATAGTGTGACAAAGAGGTTCTAGCTGGCTTGGCACCAGAAAACAGCATCGTCATCGGTATTTGATAAGCAGCGCACTTGATATCCAACGGTGACCCAAAACAGCAACATTTTTTAGTTTGACCTGACCTGGAAGGTCAATGACTGACCTGAGAAGATAAAACTGGGTATCATTGGATTCGTCTCTTCCCAAAGAATCTTTTTGGTCTTTACCGCTAAGCTCTATCTCCAACAGGAACGAAATGGCGCGGGGGGGGGGGTGGCAACCACCCCCCCCCCCATGTGCGTTCTAGGATGGGAAAATGGCATGTGCGGGCGAGGGTTAAAGCTTGCAAGGAGTGCAAAGCAAGAAATCACGATTCGGTGTGCTTGAGATAGTTTGAGGTAAGAATAGCAGTTTTCATTTTTCCCCATCGACTTATAATGGTGAGGTCACGTGACCACCGACCTGACCTGATATAAACTTTGGGAAAAATCCAAGATATGCAATTTGTGAGGCCTCTGGAGGATACTACATCCTGCAAGTTTCATCTCCTCGTGAAAGCCCCTC